AACACCTTGAGGAGCAGAAACTGTTGCCCACAGGTGCTGGCAGCAGTTCAAGATCTGGAATGCCCTTTCTGTGAGGTGCATGCTGTGAAAAAGGGCAACGCACCAGGACACCTTGATCGACCTACAGAGTTCAATGCCCAGTTACAAGCCGACGTCCTCTAGCTGCTAGCTTGACTTGGACGAAGTTGGCATGGTGCTTGAGCCCGGTCACAAGAAGCACAAGACTTCACAAGACCCGCCAAATTGCAGTCTTGGTCATGGTTGATGTCGCCGCCCGATTCATGGCAGCTCGCACCATCACCGACGAGAAAGGTCCTTTCTTGCAGAAAGGGTTGGAAAGAGCCTGAGTCAACATCATGGACCACCAAAGCAGCTCTATGTGGATGAAGGCACTGGTTGGGCCTCAGACTCCACGATGCAATGGTGCGAGTCCAACTCGCATCTCACCTGGCCAAGCACACACCAGGACCTCAATAGTGGAGAGAAGGCGCCAGATTGTGCGCAAAGCAGTCTCAATCTTCATGATGGAGAATAACCTCACTGGCCTAGATGGTGTGCATAGCGCTTTACCCCTGGGTTGTACCAGCCCTCAACAGCAACAGCTTTGTCAATGGCTTCACACCCACTCAGCTTGCTCTTGGTCGAACCTGCACTTCCTGGACTGTTGACTGATGAACGAACAAGTCCACTGCAGCTCCAGTTGACCGAGCAAGAGAAGTTGCATCGCAAACTGAACCTCAAGTTCTCTGCGCAAAGTGCTTGTGGCAAGGCAGAGATCGACGTCAAGCTACAACGCGTCACTGGCAAGGATGAGGAGCTTCTCCCACGTCAGCGATGCTACTACTGGCGTGAGCAGCCGACAAGGCCCACACCATCCGCTGGCGAGGACCTGCAGTGGTAGTTGCAGTTGCACGCAACCCTGACACTGGCACCATCAGGTTTGCGGCAAAGGAGAGCAGTTCGCATTGTGGATCTGCGAAAGGCCAACAAACGCTCGATTGATGAAGTTGGCCCTGAAGTCAGTGACTATGAGCCTTCAATTCCTGATCATCCCGCTCCACCGACTATGTCCTCACCTGCTCTACCTGACGGAGTTCAACCAGCCTTTGACCGCTCAACGCAGGAGGCAATTCAGTCAAGAGCGCAGCAGAGCCTCCGGAAACAGAACCTCCTGAAGCCTCTGCTACAGAGCCGCTGGAACCGCAGCTGGAGATGAGCGACGTCCAGAACTACCCGAGCTGGATGATGATGAATTTGAGAAGCCAATGGGTGAACCACCTCACCTTCAGACTCCTATGGCCATTGCAGATCAACAACCTGCACTTCCTGATTCGTGGTCAGGAGCCATGTGTGGGGAAGAACTTCAACCTGAGACCTTCCCGATCGAGACCTCTCTTCTACAAACAACCACTGGCCTGACTCTTCAACAAGGCTCACGGACCATCTGCAGTATGTCAACTCCAGCGAGCAGCAGCACTTCAGCGAAGCGTGGACGGGGAAGACTCTCTACCCTCTCACAGCTACCTGGCGCCGAGAAGACTGGACTATACTACATCGGCGACCTCTCTGACAAGTTCAGTCGCTGCAAGACGCTCCGTGGCCGTGGACACATCTGGCAGGCAGTCGGTGCAGCCGGCCCCAAGAAGAAGAGCGCAGACCTCAATGAAAATCGAATGACTCTGGACGACCGCCTCGCCTTTCTCGAAGGCAAGAAGAACGAGCTCTCCAGCATCTTTGAGAATGGAGTTTGGGAGATAGAGCTCGATCCACAGTCTGTGGATCACAACAGAGTCATGCGCGCTCGCTTCGTTCTTAAATGGGCAGCTGATGGGAAAGGTGGCCTCAAGGCCAAAGCCAGGCTGGTCCTTCAGGGATTTTCTGATCCCGACCTATTGCAAGGTCAACTCGACACTTCATCGCACACTTTGTCAAGGAGTTTTGTCAGGCGTTGATCATGGGAACGATGGACCGCCGACGTTGCAACGGCATTTCTCCAGGGTGATCCCCAACAAAGGGTCAAATGGGCCCGGATACCAAAGGACGCCTGCGAGCTCATCGGCGTTCCACCCAGCACCCTCATGAGGCTGATCAAGCCCCTCTACGGACAGGCTGATGCTCCAAGGCAGTGGTTTGCAGTGGCGAGACACCGCCTATTGCAATTGGGATTCCAGTCCCATCCTTTGGACCAGTGACAGCCATGGTCGGCATGTCGATGATCTTTTTGGTTGTGGCTCAGCTTCTTCGCCTACAGCACCGGACCAAAGAAGGAGAAAGATCTCTGGAGTTCTGCGGCTGTCAACTCGCAAGAACAGCCACAGAGTCGGTCACGACTCAAACAGACTATCTCAAAGGCATCAAGCCGATGACCTGTGCCGACAACGACCTCGAGCGAGATCTCACCTCTCGAGAGCAGAGCTCACTCCGAGCGCTGTTTGGGGCACTTCAATGGCCAGCGACGCAGACGTTGCCACACCTATGCGCTTCGGTGTTGCTTCTATGTGGAGAAGTCACCACATCCACAGCGGGCGTTGCCCAACAGGCGAACAAGACCTTGCGTTTTGCAAAGAACAACGATGCAGGTCTGATTTTTAGATCACCGGGTGGTTCGCTGGACAACCTGTGTATGGTGGCCATGAGCGACGCAGCATGGGGGGTGAGGCGAAACGGTGAGGGCCGAGGGGGCTGCTTGGTTTTGTTCGCAACAAGGCCAGGACACCTCCGACCACGACTATCTCATCTTCTACTGGAGGAGCTTCAAACTTCCATCAGCAGATCCTCCCTGAACGCTGAGAGTCAAGCCTGCTCGGCAGCCATGGACGCCTTGGAGTACCTCCTCATCTTCTGGGAAGGATGCTTGAAGCATGACTTCCAGCTCCGACAGGTCAATGAACTGAAGCTTTCATTGTCTTCAGCCTTGGTGGTGGACGCAAAGGCTCTCTACGACAGCCTCAAGGCAGAGACACCAAGTCTCAAGGAGACAAGAGGACGAAGATTGAGGTCATGGTCACAAAGCAGAAAACGGTTTGCATGGACACCAAGCTGCGCTGGGTCAGCTCCGAGATCCAAGTCGCTGACGGAGTCACCAAATCCTCAGCAAGGCAGCTGTTCGCCGACCGTTTGAGGAGTCACCAAATCTCCCCTCGGTCAGACATGACCCAGGCCACCAAGAAGAAGACTTTGGCTGAGCGGCAGGCAAATGCTCGCAAGCGTGCGATCAGCCGATCGGGGAATCGGCGTAGCCTGGCATACACGATCCTCTGCGAGGATTTCAGCCCAGCTTCGAGGTGGACGTCGCCGTTTCGCCAGAGATGACCCCACTCTCTTCATCCTCCTGGTGACCTTGGTCAGATGGAACATGTGGAGGGGAACATCAACGAGGACTTCAACAACTATGAGGACGACAACAGAGACATGGACTATGACTATGACAACAGAGACCTCCACCACAAGAGATTACGGCATACAGGCCGAGACCTCTGAAAAGAAGGCCTCCTCAAGATGGAGATCGCAAGGCTACAACAAGACCTTCGTGATTCAGATGCCTACAACGCCGAGCTCAAGGACAAGCTCGACGCGCTGGAGGGAGACGACAATGAATTGGAGAAAGAAGTGGACGACCTGATCTTGATGAGAGACTCCTTGTCAGGAGACATCGGGGAGCTGGACGGCAAGTACAAAGATGTGAGAATGAAGTGGCAGGTGGCGCACGAGAAGCTGGAAGCCATCAAGTTCGAGCTGGACCGCCGTCCCATCGCCAGGACCATCTACACCACGCGCACTGGAGGGAAGTACCACATCTACCCTGACTGCCAGGGACCCTCCGGCGCGGATCCAGGCTCCATGAAGCAGTTCGATAACTGCGCCTTCTGCAGACAGCGGGAGATGATGAAGCTGAACTTCTGTCGCAACCACCGGTGTGGATTGGGCGCCGCCCAATGAGCTTTTGGCATGTGCGATACATGTTCGCCACCGCTGCTCGGTTTACATGTGGCCCACCAGGGGCCCCTTGAGCACCTCATGCTGGCACGTAAAAAAGACGCAACTCGCTTTTCTCATTCCGTGTTGGCACTTAGAGCGGTCAGACACGCTAGGTGTACTTCCATACCTTCACATTTCCCGTATCTTTTGTGTTCTGGCATTCTTTTCCCCCGAGCCCACATACAGCCCTCGTCTCGAAGCTGTATCTTCTGGCATTTGAGGCTGGTCTCAGCGGTGCCGGACATCCGGAAGCTTTCATGGCAGGTTGGAGCCGATGAGTTCGTTCTCCTGGCCAGCGATGGAGTTGGACACCCAGGAGCCCACATGGGGGAATAGAGTAGGTGATGATCATTTGATGTTGACAGTGCTAGACCTTATGACTTGTGAGGTGTGGGAGCGCATGGAGGACCAGCAGGCAGTAAACTTTGTTCGCTCCAGACTTCCTCCACCAGGACCGAAATCACATTTTTGGCATTAAAGCGGCAATTTTGGAAGAATTAACGCAAAAGTTCCTTCGGGCTGGAGGATCCAAGAAGGGTCTTGTCCCAGTTCTCCAAGAGTGCCTTGGCAAGCGTCTTCTGAAATTTGCAGTTTGCCACAGCCAACGTGTGTAGATGGTGTAGGCTCTTGGACTCCTGCTGTGCAAACACGCCCTGTCAGCGAGGAGGCCGCACATCTCTCGTTTGCTCGTGAGATGGAAATGGACTTGCTTTTGCAACTTTCACATTTATATCCAAGACGTGATGTAGCAAAGTAAGAAAACTTTTTGTGGCATTCCTTGCTGGAGAGGCTTGGGGTGTGACAACATGACAGTGGTACTCGTGCGCTTCGAGGAGAGACCGCATGCCAAGCCTCACTCGGAATGTTAGTCACTGTGAACTTTTTTGCACCCAAGGGGTTCCATTCGTGCCTATAGGCTATAGGTCCTACATGGTCAACGGCTAAAGGTGCAGTTTCAGAAACATTTTCGGCTCTCAGCTCCTATCCAAGCACCTTAGCTTTTGCACCGGCATCATTTCATCATGCCTCAGATGTCTAAGCTTCTTCTGGGCAGCGCTGCAGTGGCCGGCACTTGGGCCTTCGTGGCTCCCACACCTGCAACTCGTGATTCTCAGTTGAGGGGTGCCCCGCACCGTGCCACAGGGACCAGCGCCGCAGGCAACACTTCCGGCAGCTTCGGTGCCACTGCTGCAGTGGCCGCACTGGGTGCTTGTGGAGTAGCTTCCATGCGCCGCGCTGGAAAGCAGCAGAGGAAAGCGGATGATGATGCTTATGGTGCCAGCCACACATCATTCTACACTGATGCGGTGGCCAAGGACAAGTATGACACGTTGGAGGAGGTGTTGGCTGAGAAGCTGAAGGATGACAAGTTGAAGGGGATGGTGAACGAGCTGCTGGATGCGTGTGTGAAGATTACGGAGGCCTTGCGCATTAACCTGGTGACAGTGAATGATGCCTCCAATGCTTTTGGAGACAGGCAGCTCACTGTGGATGTCATTGCCGACAACCTTCTGTGGGATTTGGCCAAGACTTCCAAGAATGTTTTTGAGGCATCTTCAGAGGAGGAGCCGGAAATTGTGAAGACCAATGCGGATGGTCAGTATGTCCTGTGCTGGGATCCCTTGGATGGTAGTTCCATTGTGGACAACAACTGGGCGGTGGGCACCATCATTGGTGTCTGGGACAAGTCCACAGGGCTGATTGGTGCCACGGGACGTGACCAGGTCATGAGCATTGTGACGCTCTACGGGCCACGCACCACGGTCTTCATCACTTTGGACGATGGCGTCTACGAGTTCACGCTGGGAGATGGAAACAAGTGGATTTGCTCCAGGGACAAGATTTCCATCAAGACCGAGTGCAAGATCTTTGCCCCTGCAAACATGCGCGCCGCCCAAGAGGACGGGATAGTTGTCACGGAACCAGAGACCACACAATCACCAATGCATTGTGTAGAGCACGATGATTTCAATATGTAATAAGTAGTGAAAAACCATGTGAAAAAGGGTCATTTGAGAGGTTGAAGGTTACAACAACCTCATCAATCACTACATGACCAACAAGTTCACCTTGCGCTACACTGGTGGTTTGGTGCCCGATGTGTGCCAGCAATTCACCAAGGGTCAAGGCGTTTTCACCAACCCAACATCCAAGGCAGGATGCGTTTGGCCGAAGAGCCGCGTTCTTTTGGTGAGGGGCCATGCCGCTTCATCTGGCCTCACGACTGGTAAGGTCCAGGAGGTTTGTTACTTGTACTACACATATAGACTGGATCAAAAGGAACAGCTCCAGAACAGCCCCTACTATGGCGCGCGCAGACTCTCGTAGACCGTAATTCTGATTACATTCCTCAATTGATGCTGATAGTTGAGGTGCTTTCTTGTGCCCCAAGGGTCGCAACTTATGATACCACCCTGGAGGAGATAAGCATGCTGAATGCTACTTCGTTCCTTTTCGTTTCGTTCCTCGTATCGTTCGGTTGGGGGTTGATTTTTGGACCCCTCATGGTCCGTTCGTTTTTTTGCTTTCAGGCCTCTCCTGCAAAGTTGCGCCTGGCCTTCGAGGCGGCCCCATTCGGGCGATTGGTGGAGATGGCTGGAGGGAAGACCTCGGATGGTGTCTCCGGCAACAGCGTGCTGGACATGTGCCTGGGATTGTTTTAGGGGCGACGAGACGTCTTAAAGATCTGGTGGTACCTGTAGTGAAGGATGAAGACAGCCCGGTGGTGCAATCCTGAAGATTCAGGGACCATGTGCATGTGGACCAAGGAAGATCACAGCAGTTGATCAGCGTACCGCGCTGGCAATTGGCTCCGCTGCAGAGGCGCTCCCCAGTGGGCGTTTGCCAACTTTGACGGGAAGTCAATCTCCTGATTTGCGTTGCCCCCGCAAGATGCAGCAAATCCATGTGTAGCTGTGGAGCAAATTGTGTCCTGCCACCGGTATAGCCTACTGTGTTTGATCTTGCCTTGGCCATGATACAATACAAACGCCATTCTGGGTTTCTGGGCAACATGTGAAGATGCAAGCAAGAGAGGGACGAGAGGGAGGAGAGGGACGAGAGAGACGAGGGACGACGCATCACACCTCCAATCGTGATAGATGTTGGGCCTGTTGGGCTGACCGTTTTTGCCCTGCTCTAGGTGGAACGCTTCAACCAGATGGTTTTGCAGAAGTAGGCAGGCCAAGGACCGGGTGATGTGATGAGGCTGAATAGGCTTACACAAGGCTGGTAGGATGCATATGATGCAACAGTGCATTCTGACAGGAACGCGTCTGAAGTGCCAGTTCTCAGCCACGGATGGCGAATTTTCCTGATATCCCGAGCGCAGCCATAGCTACTTAGATTTACTTAGTATTGTTGGATGTTGCTCTTCTGTGTGCCATGTCGTTGACCTTTCTCAGCAGGTTAATTTTGCTGCGTCCACTGCGCTCTAGCCACTGATCTCTTTTTGTAGAACATAACAAATATAAAGCCGTTTCAAATCCATGTCATGGGCTGCAGCGCTCTCAAAAAGGTGCGAGGCAGTTTGGGATGCTGCTGTCCCGTTCTTGTTTGGCTATGCAACGTGCGAACCGACCAATGCACAAAAGGAAGATAGTGCATGGTTATATAAAACTGTGTCGAGCTTTGGGCAGGTTTGGGTGCACAGTATTCATTACATGTTTTACACTGTCCATTTTGGCTCAAACCAAAAGTGGGACAGTGGAGTTTCTGTTCTGCTTGATTTTTGCTGTGTTTGCTGTGGATGGCTTCGCAGCATATCGTCGGTGTGCATGTCGCCATGTTCACTGATTCTGAGGTACTTTCGGCCGCCGCGTTACTCGAGTTCCGCCGCCAGGTCGATGCTCTTCTGGCCCGGGGGGACCGGGCAGGCGCATTGCGGCTTTGGGGCTCGGTGGTCCTGTTCGAGCACATGCCTCCTTCTACTCGCCCGGGGTACGGGCCTGCAGGTTCCCCCCTATGCGAATTTCGGTTTGTGCCAAGAGTGTGTGCCCACGTTGTGACCAGGGGCGAGGGGGCTACGTCTTCCCGTGGCTCGGGATTTGGAACCAGCGGGGACAGTTGTGCCATCTGGTTTCACCCCTCAGCAGGCTTGGGACAGGCATGCAAGGTTGGATGCCTCCATGGACCTCCTACTTCTGCAGCCCTATCGCGGCCCATACTCAGCTGCCAATTTTGTGCCATCGTACTTATGGGAGTTCATGCAGAAGGTCCCCGGTGACTTGGACCTCTTGCCCCCACAGACCTTCCAGTCCGAAGTTTTGCATTACATGCGGCACTGGCTCTTGGGATCCCGACATGGGTTGTGGTCCAACCCCTTTCGTGCACCGTTGCCGGACATCGAGAGGCTGCCCCGCCACTTGGACGCCCTTCACCCGAAGATTCGTGCTCGATAGCCCTTCGTGGATGGTTGGGATCCTCAATCAACGGAGAAACGGAATTCCCTCCAGCGTGTTGTGGCTGTGGTGATCCTACATATCGGCAGTGCCTTGGTTGTATCAAAGGAGTGTGCACCGCCTGTTTTCCTGTGCTCCAGATTTGTCCGGCCTGCCGCGAACTTTCTTCGTCTGATGACGATAGTGAGCGCTCAAGCCATGGCGTGCCGTTCGCAAGCGGCAGAAGCAGCAGATGCTCCAGCTGATGCGAGTGACTGCGAGTGCATCCTACGGCGAGCCGAGGACAGCCTTGCTTGTGTCGCTGGCGCTCGTGGCATCCCTATCGCCGAAACAGTCCAGCACTTCCCAAGGACGAACCTACAGATCGCCTGTCTGCCTCAATACCCCGAGGGTCGGGGAGGGTGTAGTACTGCCACGGGCGTTCGTGGCGAAGGTTCAGATGGGCAGCAAGAGTCCGTGCCCTGATCTATGCCTTGCTGATGGGAACCTCGGTGGATGAGGCCGCTGCCGAGATCACCAAGCTTCGACCGGGATCGAACTTCGGCACAGTGGCTTTACAACACTCGGCGCACCCTTGGTTTGCCACCAGTCCATCCTCGACCAGCTGGATATCTGGTGTCGGACCATTCCCATGTCCACCTTTGCACTGAGGGCCGCATTGCGCTTTGTGCATTCAAGCGGCACTTCTTCAACAGCTACTTGGAGGCGAGTACGCTCGCCCGCCCCGTGTGCGAACAGTGCTGGGGCAAAGCACCAGCGTCCTGGCAGACGAGGGGCTGAGCTGTTGAGCAGCCTGCAGATTAGATGATCTGTGAATGGCTGCATCCATAAGAGCAGGCAGCCTCCGTAGACGCCCCTTTTTGTAGACTGCGTCATGTGTAGACTACCGAGGCGACTGGAGAGCTCGCCACTTGCGGAAAGAATGCTGTGTCATCAGCTGTGTTCGCGACACCGCAAGTGAAGGGTTTTGCTGATGTCCCAACTCCGGCGGTGACGCTGTGGTACCCTGGGATCAGGGATACATACCTGTTTTTCAGTTAGATGTCTTGCTGAGTTTGTTCATTGAATTTTAACGCTGTACGAGTCGCCTGACTGTGCGTGCCTCGGATCTCCGCCTCTTCAGCTCCTTTCGGCCAACAGAGGCGAGGTGGGTCCTCGTGGGTCTTACTTGTGAGGTGGGTCCTCACCGCATCTAGGGAGGGTCCCTTGTCCCCGCATGGCGTCTAGCGTGCAACTCGTGCCGAGTGACGGCGCAGATGCTGCGGCTACGTTTCGCCAGCTAGGGATCAACTTCAGCATTGCTGAAGCGGTAACCGATGCCCTTGTCAAGGCTCGCCTCCAAAACCTCGAGGAGTTTCGCTATTTCTTCGAGAGTGAGGACAAGGTTCAACCGTGGTTGTCTAAACTCTCCTTAGGCGAGGACGCCGGTATCCAGGGAAACCGGACTCCAATCGTTGGACATTGGGCAACCCCATCAATGGTCGCCAGGTTGCCAAGATCTTGATGGACGGCGCCAGGCTTTGCCAGGCCTTCCAGCACGGCCAATGCAAATCGAAGGCAAATTGCGCCAATGGACAGCACCGCTGTGGGCTGGTTCTGCGCAAAGAGCGAGCCTGCGGAGCACCTGGGCATGGTGCTGCAGCTTGCCGCGGGGGCAAGAAATGATTGGAGGCCTGAGGGGGAGGATGGGATGGTTTCCCCCTTAAGGGACACAGATGCTCCCCGTCCCTTGGTTGCCGATCTGTTTTGTGGCCCCAATCTTCCACTATCCAAAGCCTTCCTCTGGTGCGGGTGGCGCACCCTTTCGGTGGATTGGATGCTCGACAAGTCCCACGACCTATCCAACCCGCCCCGCCAGCAGTCATTACACGAGCAATTATTGGCTGATGTGGACTTCATCTGTGCAGCCTTCGGCTGTTCTCTCCGAGGACGTGATCTTCAACGGGTTCGTACAGACAACCAAGCATGTGAGTTCATCTTGGAGGAGATTCGGCTATTGGACGAACGGGGCGGGGGGGTCCGTCCGGGAGAATCCATGGAGGAGCCTTCATTGGTGGGGGTCCACCGAGGTATCCATGATGAAGTCCGCCCGTTGGCGCGACAAGCTCTATGATGCTTGCTGCCTAGGACGGTGCAAGGCACAATGTCTCCGCCGCAACTTGGATGAGATTGACCATTGGCCGCCTTTGACATGCCACCATTCTCATGCACCTCAGGAGTGGACTCCTTACCTTCAAGACGGCCACACAGTTTATCCCTCCAAAGAAGAAGCCGAGTATACCGCTGTCCTCGCCTTTGCGATCGTGGTTGCCGCATCGTGGTGGGCAGTGCGAGTCGGCCGAGCATCACTACACGTCCCGCGGATGCCGCAATTCGAGTGTGTGGGCGCTCGAGAACACTGGCTTGATCTCGACCCTTGAGCTCTACGGGAGTGGGCCATGGTGCCCTTGCCATTGGGCCTAGGCCTATATCCTCCAGATCCTGAGGAGGCTGCTCGTATCCCGAGGCGAGCTCAAGTAGAGGATGTGTTGTTGGAGCGGGGGCGCCTGCCACCCAACCATCTCTATGTGGGACAGGGGCGTGGTTCCCATCGCTTGGCCAAGACGAAGTGGGCATCCCCGGTGGTACCAGGGTTGAACAGCCAGTCGAACGATTGGCTCTGGCACTATGTGGCCCACATCTTCGACTCCAAACTAGTGGATGACCTGCACGAACTCCATGGCCAGGTGTTGGTGTGTGATTGCCCATTTTGCGACCCTTGTGAAGCTGATGTGCTTGCTGGCTTATGCTTCGAGGCGAGCCACCCGGGAGGACAAGCCATGCAACGTTTTAGCCGCGGAGGCGCCCCGAGTGATTACGGCCAGTATGCTTGGCTCAGCGCAAGGCATCCCAGCCTCGCCGGCACGTTGGTGGAGCCAGGAAGCGCTCACTTTAGCCTTCCGCAAGCTATATCCAGCACCCTACTATGATTGAGGACATCATTAATGCCGCCCCTTTCACGGCATTCTCGCAATGGCTCCGTGATCGGGCCTATGACGTGGCCCTCTGGGACCTCTCATTTGGCTGATGCTCAAGTGCGTCAAACTCTTCGTACTGCTGAGGGACAGCCGGTGGGAGCTTTGAACCAACGTGCTGCACCACTCCTTTCGTATGGTCTTAGTCCAGACGAGCACTTCGCACAGGCTCTGCACCGAGGTCGCGACCTGCTCCCTACTGAGTTGCCAGCTGTCCTGGACCTTGACCCCCTTGTATTTGCAGCGGATTGCCGCGCACAGCAACGCGGGCGGTTGCGGGATTTGCGTCGGACAGCAGTGGGGGCACTGCGAGAGCTCACGCGTCGTTGGTGTGCGGTGGGACGCCGCCTGCGACAATTTCAGCATGCCTCATTGCAAGCGACTACAGCCTCTCGGGACTTAGGCTTTCGTGGCGTTACTGATTCTGTGAACCTCCTGGCCAGATATTACGTATCCGTTTCATTGATGGGCTCCCTGCGGTGGGCTATGCACCATGCTA